GTCGGGTCACTGAAGTCGACACCTACAACTGACATACCACATTGCAGCACAATTAACTTCCGAACTTTGAGAGCCAGTATTTCACAGGGTTAGCTACATTGACTCCTTGCGATCTTGGTACGGTACGAAAGTGCAAAAACGCATAATCGCACCGGCCCGCCTGGTGCGTTCCAGCCTGGGTTAGCTTACAAACGGACAGGAAGCATCCAGTGCGAAATGTTCGCTCTTTACCCCATCTGATTCTCGAAACTTTTCTCCAGCAAAATTCATCCGCTTTTCAGGTGTCCGTAAACGAAGCCCAGGCGTATGCGACCATTTAGCCTTCAAGTTGTAGGAAATATACGTAAGCCAAGGACATGTTCGTGAAGCTTCAAATCCTCAGCTTCCCCTGCTGTGAACGTGAAAATAAGTCACAATACGCATGCACACATATGCACACATACACACACATACACACACATGCACACACACACATGCACACACACACACACACACACACCGACTTCTTCAAAATATGCACTTCTGCATTTGCATAAATATGCGAAAAAGCATAAAAATAATGAAAGGCGGGGAAGGGTGCTCAGCCGAACGTTACACGCAGAATGCTTATCGAATTCTGAAAGAGCAGCAACGAGACTAAGGGATTTCAGTGTCACCGAGAGTGCAAACAGCAAATGGCTCGGAGATATGCAGTGGTGGGCTGCGCCGCAACAGCTTATGCACCGGTGTCGAGAGGATGATGGTAGGAGCCGTGGTCATCGAGCATTTCCTAGGATGGGAGAGCAGGTCAGAAATAGATGCAAAATGCTGTTCTCACTTGCCTTATCACATAAAGTCTTCACTTGGGCCTCGGTAAGCTGCTTACATTCGTAAAGCTGCTCGATCCACTGATCAACCTCCTTAAGCACCACTCGATCAATGGTATCTCCAGCGGTCGCTGCTGCTGCTGACACAGCTCCCCCAACGTTAGAAGCCGTCATCCTGTAACAACCGGAGAGAAGTCACAGAATTCTAAGCACATTTCGCCACTGCGCAGCGAACGCAATGCACCCCCATGCCTCAACCCTGCCAACTGTCTCTCGCAGCAATAAGGAGGAAACGGCTGAAAGGGCCCAGAGAAGCCGAGAGGGCATGCTCAGTCAGTAGCAGCAGCAGCAGCAGCACAGGCCAAGTGGGAAACGAGGAGCTGCGCACGAAGGCCAGCAAGCAGCAAGCCAGACTGCCCTGCCTGCAGCTGCACTGCGCTTTTACCGAAATTCGTCTCAACAACCACCTGCGAACGTCGACCTGGGAGCCCAGCTGCGATCACTGGAGGGTTGTGTAGTGCAGCGAGGCGCGGAAGAGGGAAAGGGTGGTGGTAGTCATACGCTAGGGGCTCATGTACGGGCACGTGAAAATTTTGGCGCGAAAATCAATAGCCCGAGAGCAGGAAAAGCTAGAAATCTGAAACTTAAAGGGAATGTTCCCTACTCATATACGAGCAAAATCAGGTGTTTAGAAGCGCCTAAGCCCACGTATGGGCATATGAAAATTTTGGCGCGAAAATCACTAACCCGGAAACGAGAGAAGCTAGAAAGCTGAAACTTTTGGGGGGATGTTTCCTACTCATGTACGACCAAGATCAGGTGTTTAGAGGCGCCTGTGCT